TATTAAATTTATTACTCCTTGAAGATGCTGTTTTCTTTTCCATGTCGAAATTTCTATTCGATTAATCGTCATTTTAAGGAAATTGAATGCACGTTTCAATAAAAAAAATATGTGTGTAACATCAATTTTTAAACTACACAGGACAAGTATTGCGTTGATGTTAAATAATAACTATATAAAGTCAAACAGCAACAACAGCAACATTTCTGTTTATTTTTCATATTATTATTTTAATGATATGCAAACATTTGTTTAAATGATTTTAATTTTCATTTAAACGTCAGTTGAAGGTAACCCCTATAGACGGCATGAAAAAAAGGTACCCGAGATGAATTGCGTCGTTGGTTCTTTAATACCGAAAGTGAATTGGTGTGATAGGACATTTGACTGCTTAGACTTTACGGATGAACTGTCATGTCAGAGCAAATTTAAAGGTTAGCATTTCGTTTCCATTACATTAAACACGATATTATTGTTCAATGTTCAATATTAGATCCATGACACTTTTTTTCTGAGACTGACAAGCGTGTTTTTGCGCTTCTTTAAAAAGCCAAAATACTATAAGGTTACATTGGCATCCACACCTCAGACGATTTAAAGTTGATTCGACATCGCTTGTCTTGAAAAAAAGTTTTATTTCAGATGAGTGGCTAGATTCGGTGTTCTGATGGAATGTCATGGCTTTTCTTCCTCGGGAGACACGCTTGGGAACATTTGTCTTTCTTTCTCAAAAAGGCCTTTTTTAACATTTGGTTGAAATTTTTCTGAGAGTTCATCATTATTTTTACATACATCGATATTTCGAATCTCGAATTACCACGTCAATAACTTCCGTCAAAATAAAAGATAGCCTCACCAGAAGTGATAATTTTTATTTTAACTGTAAGCATTTCATGTAATAGATAAAGTTTCCAGCATATTCCTTTGCGCTTTTTCATCAGGTTTGCAACGAAAACAGGGTTATAGTAATGCCGAAGTTGGCTTTCGTCAACTTTGGTTTCCGCTCAATATCGTAAAAGTGTTTTTTTTTCTGTGAACTTTATTTCTGCGGCACATTCTTTGGACTAAACGTGATTTAAATTCTGCGAATCGTCTTATCAAAGTCTAAGTCACATTACCACTATCTATTATATTTGCATGTACACGTTCGCGTTTCTTTATCGTCGTCAGGGCAAAACTGTAAAGTAATTACAAGCAATAATATTGTTTGCTTGCAGGGAAATATAATGCGCAACAATAGAAAGGTACCCAAGTGTCGTGTGAAAAATATACCCCGGTTGTATATTTAATTTGATAAAATTGATATAGGTTTACCGTAAATCAGATGACAATTAAAGTATATAACGAGTATTTAGCAGTATAAGAGTTGGGATGGCTTGAAATATCTTTATTCTTAAATTAGCATCATTAACAATAAGTACATCTTTAGAAACGCAGATAACATACTTACGTATCGCTAACCTTTATAATCTGTTAGTCGTTATTACTTAAGACGAAACATGTCATAATGTAGGATACATATCGTTGCAGGTAAGAGAAACATTCTGCTGTTTTTATTTCTGCGGTTCCGAAACTGACCACAGAAAACGCAGAAATAAAGTAACCGCAGAAAAAAACACTTATACGGTAACTTGAGTTTGCTTTGGCCTATTGACAGCAAACTCGGATTGTAGGTATCTTATATCAAGAGGCAGCTTTGGATTGCTATCCAGTTGTCTGTGATTTAAGTCAAGGCCACTGTTATTAAAAAACGAAATCCAGTTTCCGCTGAATAACTTTAGTTTGCTTAAGCCTATTGAAACCAAACTTGGTGTATGGGTAGCTTATATCATGTTGCAGCTTGTGCATGCTATCCAGATGTCTGTGATTAAGGTTCAGGTCACTTTTGCTAAAAATGTGTTTTGCGCAATATCTTTAGTTTGTTTAGGCCTTCATGACACGCAAACTTGGTATCTGGTAGCTTTATATCAAGAGGCAGCTTGGGAATGCAACCTAGATATCCGTGACTAAGGTCAAATGGTTAATGTTTGCTAAAAATAGAAATTCAGTTTCGCTCAATATATTTTGAGTTGTTAGGAGCCTATTGACACCAAACATGGTGTATCCGGGGTAGCTTATATCAAAAGGCAGCTAGGGTTTGCTAACAATGTGTCTCTGACCAAGGTTAATGTCACTGTTTCTAAAAATAGAAATAAGCTTTGCGCTTAATAACTTAAGTTTACTAACGTCTGTTGACACCAAACTTGGTGTATGGGTAGCTTATATCAAGAGGCAGCTTGGGACTGCCACCCAGATGTGTTTGATCAACGTCAAGGTAACTGTTGCTAAAATTATAGATTAAGTTCTCGCTCAATATTATCAGTCTGCTGCGACCACACAACTAAGTATGTGTGTAGCTTGTATCAAGACACTTCTTTGGCGGCGGGCGTCAACTGTTGCTTAAAATAGATATAAGGTCTCCGCATAATAACTTGAGTTTGCTGAGACCTATTGACACCAAATATAGTATGCGTGTAACTAATATAAAAGGCAACTTGGGATTGCTAGCAAGGTTTTTATGAAAAGGGTCAAGGTCACTGTTCCTTAACAACGGAAATATGTTTCCACGTAATAACTTCCATTAGCTGTGACCTATTGACACCAAACTTGCTGTGTCGGCAGCTTATATTAAGATGCAGCTTGGGATTTCTACTTAGGTATATGAGAGCAAAGAAAAGGTACTTGTTTACAATATATTTTACAGCTTCTTCTCAATAATTTCCGTACACTTTGACCTTTGATACCTAACTTGGCATGTGTGTAGCTTACGTGAAAATACCGCTTGGCATTGATGCTCAGGTATCTGTTTTATTTTTATATTAAACTAGAGAAACCAATTTTCTGTGTTGGTGCAAAAACAGCATCATTTTTTCTTCACTGCCATATTTTATTCCTAATTCCTGTCAAATCGATACTTCGTGGTTCAAAACCTGCTTTTCGTCGCATTGTGGCGCTTCTTGTTAATTTCATAAGCTAATGTACTTGACAGTTATTTCGTAATTTTGCTTTCAGATTTTTTTATATTTTCAGATAATGTTATATTTAGTTCCCTTCAACAACCCACATTTTGAAACTATTTGTTTTCAATAGGCTAGTTCACCTTGGCGATAAATCTTCCATATAACGTCAATTGTAGTTGCCTGAATATACCCTCTGATAGTTGACGAAGTCACACTGTGTTGTAACCCTATTTGGCAGCAAATAAATCTTATAGAGCCTAGAGAAATGCGTTTGTTTGAAACAACAACTATATAATACAATAATTTGTATGAAGATAAAAGAGCTAAAAAATACTTTAATAAACATTTTCAAAACTCAAATATTAGCACGTTTAACACATTGGCAAAATTGGATTAACACTTGCTTTTCTATCACAATATATTGACAATTTTAGCCATTTTCTAAGTATTATATTTTATTGTTTGATATATAAAGAAAAAGTGACAAACATTGTTCACCTTATTTTTTTAAAACATTCATCTTCTGAATATTCTGTATGTTAAACAAAATAACTGTTTCAATCCAATTTTTGGGTTTTAAATTAAAAAGAAAAAATAAAATGGGAAAATAAATCCCCTTTTTAAAAAATAAATTTTTTAATGAAAAAAAAATGCCCCAGAAAAAAATAATGAACTGATTACGAAGTTTACTTGTCCATGGTTATTCACAATTTAAATTGAAACACTATCTCCTCCTTTACGAGTTGGATAATTATCCGTAGGTGACCCTTTTCCAAGAAATTTTGTGTAAATGGTGCATTTGCCTGATGCCAAGAAAACGAAAATGAAAAAAGTTAGAGCTTAAAAAATGTTTTTAATTCTTTAAATAATAATCTTCTCCAAAACACAGCAATTTAATATAGCTCTTTTAGAAACTACTAAGAAAACGTCGTCTTAACCGACCTTCAAAACTGTTGCCCCCAAGTTTGAAATTGGCGCGTTCTTTACTTATATCCTCTACAACCACAGAAGCTAGATAAATGTATATTATGCATCAAACATAATCAGTTTGAGCTCAACCAAATATGTACCTATTCAAGCTAAAGGTTACAATTGGTCAAAACACACCCGGGTGTAATTGTTATAACTTAATGTTTATTTTTTTAAAGTTTTTCTCAACCCTGAACCTGCAAAGATATTTTGCATGAAACATAGGATTGACTGCCACAACAGTTACTCAAAATATAGGATTTTTGTAAAATTGACCCCCTTCCAGCGTCATGGGTTTTCCTGAAAAAATAAATAAAGTGTTTTACAAATATCCGCTCTGATCCCGCTAAAGGTAGAGCTTTGATATTTAGCATGAACCAATTTCTGTAGACCTTTACAAAGTGTGCTCACTCCATAGCGGTTTTGTAACATTTGACTCTGCGTCAGGAGATTCATTTGTTATCCATAAACATTGACTATATCATGTAGTGAAAACATGATAATCTTCACCTCTAAACCCAATAATAGTAGTAACAATTGTCATTTCAAATTCAGTACCAACAATTGCTTTTTTAAAACCAGTTTTCATACATTACATGTATTTAGAGCCGAAAAAGTCAGGTGAGGGATATTTGGGTAATCATGAATCGGTAATTGATTTTCATGAATTTGTGTTTAAAGATCACAATCTCACGATTATTGGCAAACAAATGATGCAATCTAATTTGCCTGAACGACTAATTCGCGAGGCATATTTCACCTGTGAACATAGCAAAGAGTGGATATCTACATTAGCTAAATGTGATAACGTCATAGATTGTCTCGATGCTTCAGACGAAGTCAATTGTTCTCAAGATAAAATTGGTATTTGGTCTTTTGAATTTACACATTTCCATAAAATTTCCCATTTACATTCTGAATTTTTCAAAAGAATAGGTTTAGCACGGAGGGATGTAGTCTAATACTGGTGTAACTTTCCAGGAACGATGGTAAGGATACTACCCGCCTATATGACTGAGATACTGTTGGGAAATGGCGTAAAATGAAACAAACAAACAAACGAATAGTTTGTTTATGCGATGTTACTTTTACGCACAGACTTGAAATTAATGAATATGTTTTAAAACAAATAATTGGTAGATCGGTGCTTTGTAGTTTAGCTGTAATGTTGAATGCTATCTATTAAACAGAGTTAATGATTAAATTTCTTTAAAAAACTTCATTTATAAATATAATTGTTTAAATTTGTTTACTTTAAAAGGAAATTTTCCCCTTTCCCGAATTTAAAAACTGACCCTTTGGGATTTTTTTTCCCTTTTTTTAAAACTACCCCTGTTTTGTTTAAAAAATATAAAAAAAAAATTTTGAAATAAAAAAAATGTCCGCTATTCAAAAAAAACATGACTGCTATCAAAAAGGAAAGAAAATGTTTAAAGGGAACAATTATTTTTTCTGCCCTATGAAAACATTTTTTTACCATTACTATATTAAACAATTAAAACTAAAAATATCTTTTTTAGAAGTGAAAAACAAGAATTCTCTTGTGATGGCGGGCATTGTATTAAATTAAGTCACGTGTGCGATTTTATATCAGACTGTGTGGATGGTACAGATGAAAAATGTGGTAAATAGTAAAATTAGAATTCAGAAAAATAATATTTTAATATATTTTTTTTGACTTGACGTCCGATCTTAAAGACTTTCATTTTACTTTTTTTAAATTCTAACAAGCCTTTAACAAATTTCTAGAGACACGGAAAATGGGTTAATATATACGTATGGATATAATGTACATTGTTAAGGTAATTGATATAATTGTTTTAAATACAAATGCTATATGATGAACATCATGATAACTTACGTTATAAAAATGAACAAAGTGCCGATAAGTGCTATCAATAATAATGTAATTTTGGATACGTCGAAAACTTACATTTCCTACACGGGTACGTCAATAATGATAATTTTATGAAACAAAATTTTGAAAGCATAAACTTTTCAAGAAAAACGTTGTGAAATGTTATTTCATGTAAAGGTTAAAAACCAAAATTTATTTTTGTAACTTACTTTCGAGTACATGTCAAATTCAGAATTCCAAACTTTATTTGATTTTTTCATGTTTTACTTTTACTGCATATTGATCGTTTTATAAACATTTGTAGAATACCAAAACTGTGATGAAAATGAATTTCCTTGTGATAATAAACAGTGCATTCCATCAGAAAAACACTGTAATGCTATACCTGACTGTTTTGATAATAGCGACGAAGAAAACTGTGGTTGGTATACGATATTATATAACTATACTAATTAACTTAAAGATTTATTATACTCATCTTTGAATAGAATCTTTTTTATTGCAGAGATTTATTGAAATCTCTAAAATTCCTACATAAGCTGTCTTTTTAAAATAAAAGAATGTATCATTTGTGTTTGGAATCTGCATTTGTTATTACGAATAAAGCTAGTTCTTTGATAATAAACAAAGCCAGATTTTAAATGACACTATATTGTTCTAGTGTGTCCACTTACAGTGTGTAGGACTAACACCGTAAAATATCTTCTTTGTGTGAAGTCAAAACAGGTTTTGTTTTATTATCGCGCCAAAGTAACCAATATTTCCAATTATCAATTTGAGCATAGTATTTTCATTGAAATACGATGTTAAATTTATAATGTATACCAACATCAATAACAAATGACAGCGGATAATTAAAAACAAATTACCTGACTTTATTGAAATTAATCAGATTAAAAAAATTCAAAATTATTTTGTGAAGAAATATCGCATGTAACATCATGTTCAGGATGTGGAAAGAGAAAAATGGAAAAAGATAACACCAGCACAATATAAGATAAATTCAATTTTTTTAAATATTTACAAAACCATTATTCTAATTGATCACTCCTGTAAATCATACGTATGTTACACTGTTTGTACTAGTTTGTAAATAAAACAAGGTAATGGTTGTTTAAATTTATATGATCCGTTCTTGTGGTGGAAGAGTTCAGGTGCCCGTCATTGCATTATTTTTGACACGAACGGGCACCTGAGTAGGACCACCGACGTTCCGTGAGCTAGCTGGAAAGCTAACTCACATGAAATAATCCAAAATCCTTGTCGGCATAATTCGAACCCATAGAGGTACGGGGCAAAAAACAGTTGTTGCAAATGAAAATATGAAGAAGCAGTAATCATAATGTTATAGTTACTAAAAGTTTGTTCATAGTCAAAATGCATTGAAATTCTTCATTTAAATAATGTTTTATATTATACGTTACGGAATACGATTATTACAAACATGTGAATATTTTATCAAATCAAGATTCATAAACACATGTTATCTTACCATTAAAGAGTCTTGCACGGATTCGTTTTTGTGTTCTGGTGATAACAAATGTATTCCTCTTCGTCGGATGTGTGATCAATACTCTGACTGTGCGGACAACAGTGATGAACGTTGCGATTTCAACATTCCCACATCTGCTGATTTTAGCGATGAATATCTTTCTCTGCCACATTGGAAAGGTGAGCAAAATTCCTATGTTAATTAATTGCATTCTAAAAATTTTGAGTTCTTTTCAGAAACTGTTTAAAGCAAAGATGACAATAGCATGAGTGAACTTTACGAGCAAAACTCATCTTTTCAAATGTAATTTTGATAACTTAACTTCTTTTTATTCCTTTCTCTACAAACATGTCAATTCTGTCAATGTATTCAATTCATATCTTTTAGATGAATGTTTTGATCAAACATAACCACTTTTAAATGAAAATTTGATTTGATTTTTTTTCCTGTAAATAATATTTCGCAATTAATCTTTAGAAAAACATAAACACTGACCCATGCCGGGCGCGAAATGTAACAGTATTATGAACAATGGAGACTGTCAATGACTCAAACTCATACTGATGATCTAAGGACTGAACAAACTGGATATTACATATTTTTCTCCAAAAGTCTTACAAAATGTTATATCGTAATTGTAGATTTGTCAATATTTTTAGTTTAATAGTTTTAATTTTTAGTCCAGAATAAAAACAAAACTAAATGATACCATGCACATACATAGGCTTAACACTTGTAACGCTTTTTCCAATTTCTTGCTTTGATGTTTAATATCCTCATTTACATTTACTTTGAATGGTAAAACAATGTTATCTCATCTCTGTATACAAATAAGGACCTACATAATTGTCTAATGTCATGTGATAGGGTAGTTTACCGGGACAAAAAAAAATCACGGAACCAGGTTTAAATCAGCATGGGTCTCTATAAAGGGACACTGCCTTGTATGAATTTCAACAAAGAGCAACGATGTAAGTGTTCTTGCACTACATTGTCATAAAACGCTTCCATTGAAATTAATTATCTACTTAAGAAACTAGAAAATATATCATTCTGGAAAAAGAACGACATCTTAATCATTTTTTTTAAGTTTCTTTAATAGCAACTTTTATATATTGTTGATAAGGCATGAAAGTCGACCAACCAGTAACATATTTGACCAAAAGAAAAAGCACAGGTGTAAACTCGCTATATTTCACCATCATGTATATTTATGTATAATTTTTTTTTCATTATTATTAAAATGAAAATAAAAGCAACTACTTTGTCTATTTTCCGGCAGAAGGCATAAAACCACATTTTGACCACACAACACGTAGAAATTTTAAGAGAGTTTGCAAACCGCATATGAAATTATACATGCAAACTTTTGACTTTTTAAAGTATGCTTCCTGTTTTTTTTTAAATAAAAAAAGAAATAACTAAAACTGAGACTTTATGCCTCAGATTCCTTGCAAAATTTTCAGTAATTGTCCCTTCGACAATGACTTAAGCACTACTAGTGTTAGTCTGATCGTAATGGAATTTTCTTGACGTTGCGTTTCCCTTTTAACGCGGGAAATCGTGAAATAATCATTTTTTATTCGGCCCTTATCAAGATATGAATTACACAGATATGTTATTGTGTTTCACCATTCCTTTTCTGCAATCTCGTCATTGCGTATTCCTTACTAGCTCTTTGTCGCTTAATTTTGTTCTTTCGAAACATGTCAGTTCAATTTATTTTCATTTCTATCTAATTAAAAAGATAGTATGATTGTTGCCATTAATTAATGAGCGGTTTCATATTTCTAACATTTCCTGTTTAGTCTATTTCATTCCAATGTTTTTCCTTGCGTTCACATAGGAGACTATAAAGTAATTTTAGTGAAAAACGTTCTGATTAATATTATTTCTACCCACACACTAAAAATGTCAATACATATATACAGAAACCAATGGTCCAAATCTATAAAAAAAGAAATGTGGAATGACACATATGCCCCCTTTCTAAGCCCCTGAGACCTAGACCTTTGAACTAGTGACCCAAAATCAATAGAGGTCATCTAAAAGTTATGACCAATCAGTATAAGAAATATGAAGACTTTGTGATAGATAGTTTTCAAGATAATTAGCGGAAACCATACTTACATTCAAAGCTACTGTGACTTTAACCTTTGACATAGTGACCCAAAAATCAATAGGGGTCATCTACTATCTATGGCCAATTTACCATGTGAAATATAACGACTTTGTGATGAATATTTTTTTAAGATAATCAGCGGAAACCATGTGGTCTACTGACGAACAGACCGACAGACAGACCGACAAATCAACATTCACAAAACAATATACCCCCTTTTCTTCGAAGGGGGCATTAAAACTGCTGGGATGTTTTTAGCATAAATCTCTACTTATATTGTTCAAATGGTTTTGCTGGACAGAAGGTTTAAAATTTAATTTGTGAATAAATTCTTTAAAAATCTTTTCTCTGAGAGTGCAAGGCTAAGAGCTTAGATACATGTATATCGTATGTAGCATAATGTAATGAAATTGTACAAAAGAAAAAAATACTAATCATATCTCTGGCATTGAAATTTGCCCGGCTCCAGGTGTCATTGATTTTCGTAATATGTATAAAGTAAAAACTTTAAATTCATCTTATCTGAATTGAAAAAGGGGCTAGAGGTTAGAAACTTGGCATGAAACATTGCGTTGTGAACCACTACCACGATTGTTCAAATTTAACCCCTGGGTCAAAATTGACCACTTCCCGAGGGTAATTGTAAATCATTATTTACATATTATAGTAAAACGTTTCAAGTCCCCTTCTCTAAGTGCTAAGCATAGACATTAGATATTTTTGCTAGGCATAGACGGTAGATTTTTTGTGTGTGCAACATTCTCGAAATAAAACTCTACAAAAATTGTTGAACTTTTAGCCCTATGGTCAAATGTGTCTTGGCGGTCAAAGATTTTCCTTAAATATATATTGTAATTGCTTAAAAATCATGTTCTTTGAATTGTCAAAGGCTAGAGGTTAGATATTTTGCATGAAACGTTGTGTTATAGGTCGCTATCATATTATTCAAATTATAGTCCTAGAGTAAAAATGCCCGTACAGCTAGTCATTGATTATTTCTATGAACATTTAGTTAAAGCTTAAAAGGTCTTCTTCTCTAAAAGTACTAGGCGTCGTTTTGTTGCGTTATTTCTCTTGCTCGAGAAAATCTACTTTTATCATGACCGATGTCTGGGCTTCAGGTCGTCGGATGTTTTTCCAGAACTGACTGGAATGTATTATAAATACCAGTGATGCCGCTCTGTATTAACGTCAGAAGTCATGAGGCTTTATTTGGTGCTTTGCGCCGATAGTAATAAAGATTATTTATCAATTGTTTTATTAAGCACTCTACATAGCGTTTGCTCTTGCATCATATCATTGTAATAATTGTGGATGTAATATCCTGTAGAATTTCATGTTAGCAAATACTTTGCGTTGTAAATGGGGTTATTGCAAGTTTAATCTCCTTTGGTAAGACAAACATTGACAAAATCTTGTCGAACACCGGTATAAATATGTTTGTTGGAATAATTTTAATTTTTCCTACTATCGGATATCTTTAACATACGTCTATTGCAACAAGTAAATAGTCCCAATTTACGAACGGATCACAAATGTCAGCCAAGGTATAAAAAGCTATTCACTCATATTCAAATTAAAGCGCGGTCTTGGTTTATTTAAATTTGACTGACATGTTTAACACTGTGATCGTTTATGTATTTCGGAACTGTAATTATGCACTTTGATATAAATATTTCTCTTGGTTTGCGCCAGAAATTGTTTATCTTGTTTGTTTATTTATCAAGGCGTATGTTTTATGTCCTTACAGGCATAAACGACCATTCCTACATTTGAAAAGAACCTTACGACATGTGTTTAATAATCCTATTCGTACGCATTGTATGCCTTAGTAATTGTAACTGGCAATTCTATGGATTGCTCATCTTTCTAATATTTTTCAAACTGAAAATTTTTATTTCGTTGTGAAGCAATCAATTCTTATATGATTTCAAATTATACGCATAATTTACTTAAGAATGACGCAATTTATTTTGTAAGCTTTAGTCCTGAATAACAAAAAACAAGTAAATAAAAACATGCACGCAAATCAGCTTAACACTACGTGACCCATTTTGAATTTCTGTTTTGTTCAAAATATCTTTTTTTTATTTGTTTAATGGAAATACAATGTTTTTTTTATATACAAATAATGTACTATACAATTGTCTGTTAACTGGGACAAAAACATGGAACCAGACTATAATAAACACGGGTCTCCATCTATAGGGGCACTGTTTTGCATTGAACATAGCGCATCAGTGCATTGTTATAAAATTTTACCCATTTATTTACTATAGGATCTAGAAAAAATGTTCATTTTTAATCTTTTTTTTTAAGTTTCTTAATTAGCCGTTTTAATATTTTAATCGGGATTTTGAATGACCTCCGTCTTAAAAAAAATAAGTTGGCACAAGTGATCACTATTATAAAACGATGTACAGAGCGCAAAAATGGGGTTGCTACCCTATAGGTCAAGGTCACATTTAAAGTTCAAATGTTAAACATCTCGTGTCGGCTCCTCCATAACTTTAAAACTGCAAAAAAGTTGACAAAAGTAAGCACCATTATGTGACGATGTGAAGAGCGTAATGATGTGGTTGCTACCCCTAAGGTCACGGTCACACTTTAAGGTCAAGTGTTTAAAGTCTATATTTCGTGTCAACTTCATAACATTTAAACCGCTGATTTTATCTTTTAAATTTTTGTTTGTTTGTTTTGGGTTTTACGTCACATCGACACAGTATAGGTCATATCGCGACGTTCAAGCTTTACTGGTGGAGGAAGACCTCAGGTGCCCTTCCGTGCATTATTTCAGGCACGAACGTTATCTTTTAAATAGCTTGAAAGTAAGAACCATTATGAGACGACGATGTGCAAAGCGCAATTATAATTAGGTTATTTTTCACAAGCTTAATATCACATGTAAAGGTCAAGTGTTAAAAGTCTTCATTTTCTGTCCGCTTTATAACTGTTAAACCGCTGAATAAAATTATTAAAATACCTTGGCATAAGTGAGAACCATAATGAGACGATGAGCAGGGTGCAATACTGTAACCAAACGAATATTCGCGACCA